TAAAATTTAGGCGCACTTAGTACAACCATGCCGAAAACAGATGGAAGACATTCATTTTGAGAAGTCTTCTTTTATCGAAAGCAGCATGAAGCTTTAGCCTTTCGTCACTTCATCCTATAATCCAATCCCGGGTATCAGTCATCTTCAGTCACACCCTAAAGCGCTAATCGTGGCCCAAGACGCCTTCACCTGCACCAACCGTGTCACTTGTTGAGCCATTTCGGCGCCTTTCCCGGCCACTATCGCTCCGTTTCCTATCGCCAGGAAAGTCTCACCCCGCGCGGTGCGGCCGGTGACACCTCTGGCGGTTGGGGGTGAAGGGGGGGGGGGCGGACTCAGAAAGTGTGAAGTGTGCGGCTCGGTGCGTGCAGCGGCGCGGCGCGAGCAGACGGTAGCGGCAGACACTGCCGGACCGACCGGCGCCAGTGCTCCGCTTTGGGCCGTGATGAGTGCAGCGTGGCTCCTTCAGAATGAGAAGCCCGTCAGCGAGGAGCACCGACCGTCCGCTCCGGTAGGTGTCCGATGGTGTGGAATTCGGTGTCGGAGTTCGGTGTCGCTATCCATTCCGTGCACAAGTGTACCTTTTATTGCCGCAATATTTTTACATTTACCTAAAAGCTAGTAGATGTTGAAATTGCCATTTAAACGCTTAGTGGATAAAGGAAAACGGTTAATTTGGCCTAGCTCTCGACAAACAAGTGCTCTTGAGCACTGATTTTACTGTAGTTCAAGTCCATATCATGCTTAGAGCATGAGATAGGTTTCATAAAAAGATAGGTATGCTTATTTTCGGATGTCAATAAAACATGTTTTGCCTCATTGCAACTTAAAGCTATACATTTCCCTTCAATAATTGCACATTTTGTATTTTACCGAGAACATAAAAATTTAAAAGTTTTTTTTTTACTTTACATATTTCTTTGATTTTCACTGTCGCGACTCGTGTCACACCATTAGAAGTATGGCTGTCGGAGAGCGCACCCCGGCAGCGGCAGCGGCCGGTGACCCGTTCCCGGCTCCGTGCACGGTCCAGCGGCGACACAACAGTCAACAACGGGGCCGGGCGGCCAGGCAACCGAGACGACCCCGCTCTCTGCTCCCGCTGCCTGATTTTCCTCAGCGGGCCGCCCAAATCACCAAATCGTGCCGTGCTCATACCGTGGGGCAGTGCTGTGTTAACCGTCTCATGTGAGGTGTGATGTTCAGACGACCGAGATTGAGACTGAGGTGACGCCCGGTTCATAAAACAGCGCTCGAAACAAGACTCCGAGTGTATTTGAACTTACTTTTGATTTCTGCTACGTGAGATCGTGTGGTATACCTAACTACCGGCGTTTAGCCATTGCCAACCCTAAGCCAAAGCCATTCCATGGACCATCGTCTTCATAGTGTTTCACCTTAGCCAGTGAAGACATACCAAATTAAGGCGACAATTTTATTTTCTCACGATGAGGAACATTGAAAAGGACAGACAGATGAAATGGATGCTCTCTCAGCGAGCTCGAATCATTGCATTAGAATGCGAACATAAGTCCCTAGATAGCATCTCCAGTCGACGCGTTCTCCGGTTGGCACCGCTCTGAAGCCGCTCTCATCGTCGACCGGGATGGTGCGCCAGTTCCCGCCATCTGCGCCGCGTCTGTCGCGTCACGGTCCAGCGCGCCGGAACTGCCGCAGTGGCGCGCCGCGCCAGGTCGCTCCGCTATCCACCGACCGGACGCGTCCCTGGGCTGGGTGCCTCGCGCTGTGCCAGCCCGGGGACACTGTGGACAATGTCCCCGAGTCCGGAGTTGGTCCCTGTTTTTCAGTGTGTATGCTGACCTGATGGACGTCGTCATAGTCCATCGATGAACTAGATCATCGTTCTAAGCGAACGTATTGTGCGGTCGTGAACAAACGATATCCGTTTGTTTACCGGCAAGTATTCGGTCTTAGTTGGACATTTAGGACACTCACAGATTGGGCTCACCGTTGAGCAATTATTGGATGAATCTACTGATCAAATGCTCTTTACATTCAAGCCGCCATACCTATCTATGCGTTAGCTGGCAATGTAAAGTTGCGTGTGTGGATGGAAATAGGCCTGGGAGCGCTGACGCCATTACCTGCGGCCCATCCAATCAGACCGTTTGTTCTTCACACTGGCCTGCTGTGCAGAACACACACCGCGTCGTTTGGACTTGGAACACCGCTCAGCGTGGAAACTCTCTGCCGTGCGTGATGGACATGGTCCGCGCAGTGTGCGGAGTGGTTTACGATCGCTGGTATTTCCTTTGGCCGAACAATTAGGTACCTAACCAATAACCATAGAGCTGGAGAGATAAAATGATACATCTAAGAGGAAATATATGAAAGACGACGCCGTATAGCTGAATTGATTAAGCGTCCAGAGTTTCAATAAAACTGAAATTTGAGTCGAGCCGGTTCACCTGTTGACACGGATAACGGTGCGCGTGTTGACGGTGACACCGTTTATTTGCACCGCGGCGCTCAGCATTTCTGGCGCAAGTGGGGCGTAAAAATAGCCATGACGTCATCGGTAACGCCACTTGCATGAGATAGATGATACGGTATAAGACCCATGAGGCATTTAAACCGATATAGTTAGTTATCGATCACTGTGCCTTTAGGTACTTACCTATTTTATTTGCCCTCCGGTTTCGTCAAGTCACTTCGGTCTCTGCTGATTATCTCCATTATTTTGTTACGGTTTTCCTTTCCGTCCTCCCATTTCCGTCCATCGTACTGAGAATTGAAATTTCTCACAATGCACCTGGTCAGGAACACTTTGCCAGCACTCAGCACCCTCGGCGTCGCTTCTCTGTGCGACAGTTGTCACCTTGTCGACGGGCTCGTAGACAGCGAAAGTCGGTGAAATTGCACCAGATTGGTAACGCGTTGCGCAATGTGATAGTCGCAGGAAGTCACCCATCTAGATGCGACAAAGTTGCGTCGACAAAGAATCGCTCGTTCGAAACAAAGTGGCCAGTCGCAGCACTTGCAATAGCTCACCGTCACTTGTCAGTCAGCTGTTTTTTTTTTTGCAAAGAACTGTCGATTTTTATTTTTTACACTATTTGTATTCCCAAGGAGTGATGTTTGTTGTTCTTTGCTTTTATCCAAATCGATAACGTGCAGTGAAGAATAAAGTCGGCCACCTCTTTTCATCTCCAGTCGTGCCCAGTCCGACTGAAAATCTCTTAGGCCCGCTCTCCATGGAGCGGCCAGTCAGCAGAAACTGCCGGCCGCTTTCCCACTCTGAACGCGCCGTGAAAGCCGTCTCTGGCTGTTCCGGCCCGGTCAGATGCCGTTTGCCACTGAACTCAGTCATGCCTGCAGCCCGCAGGCAGCGCGGCCTCAGGTTTGGCCGGAGTTTGAAACGGTGGATGGACCTGGCACAGCGACCAGAACGGCAGTGATCAGATGCTGCTGGGCCGGATCCTAAGCATGCTGTTTTGTAGTCCGCAGGAGGCGTTTACTGCGTCGGATAGAACATCGACTGGATGAGCCATCGCACTGGTGATGTTCAGGAAGTGGAGTTCCTGCGAAAATAATAACGTTCATAAATTTTGAGCTTATTCATGTATTGATAATATACAGCAACATCCATTTGCTGCGTACAGCAACATCCACATTTGCAAAAATGTCCACAAAAGTTCTTACTTCAAAATGCTTTTCCTACAATATAACATTACGAATCGTCAGCTAAATTATCACATGAAGCTTTGTTTTCCACCTTTTTCCTCGTCAATGTCAACCTCCCGTCTGAGCCGAGCAAGGTCAGCATCCCCCCTACCAGCGCCGCCGTGTCGTGCAGGGCGTGGCTGGTCGGCGGGGGTCAGTCTCGGGGGCGATACGACACGGGGTCACAGGGCTGCAGCCGCCGCGCCGGCCCCAGCACACACCCCCTGGCACGGTCCGACGGGGTGGCGGGCCACTCAGCAGCGGTCAGCCAGTCAAGCGGGACGGGTCATATAGGCATTGCTGGGTACACCGCTACGACATATACTGGTCTCTAGGGTGGGTGGGACACTGGAAAAAACCCTGGGTCGAGACTACAGGCTGGGACATAGGTTTGGATGGACTCGAATGGGGCAAATCGGGGCTGAGGCTGGTTGAACTGCAGAGCTGTATGCATGATGTCAGCGGGTTCGTAGTTTGTCCCTGAACTATCACGATCCCCCGGATGCCCGAAACAATGGATGCATGGCTCACTGAGCCCATGTCACCATGACAGCGTGCAGTAGTGAACGACGCTTTCTCACCAACAGCGATCAGCTCACACAGCGACTTGCTCATTTATTGAACTTTGATTGTTTTTAGTTTGAATTCCGATGAGTATGTGCAAGAAACCTTACAATCTATTGCTTTTCTTGGTGCTGTGTGTTAGATATTGTTTACCTAAGTGGATGAATTCGAAGCAAAAAGCTCAAAACAAACCGGAATGGAACTAAGCACGCGTAACTGTTCGATCGGCAGAACAAAGCAGCGTGTACGGGGCGTCACGGCTGCTAGACCACAAACAATGACGGGTAATGTGTGCCAATCGAACCTTGTCGATGTGTATGTGTGCACTGCGTACCAGTCCACAGGGGCGAGGGCGAGCTGTCACCGGCCTGGTGTGTGTATGTACCTCTGCTCTTGGGGAGGGCTTTGTGTACCCGTACTCTACATGAAGGCGAACTTTAGGTACTCCGGCTTTAGGGGGAGACTGTGTATCCTGGCGCTCAGGACTTATCATAGCCGTCTGTTGCATGTTCCTGCTGGTGTGTGCCCCGTCTCTGGACCGATCTGTCACCGTTCTGTCAGCGCGCTGATGGTAGTCGGTAATGACAGCCGGGCGGGCGCCGGCCGGCCCGCTGACGGCGCGCCAGATGGCGTCGAGCGCCGCCGCCGCGGACCGTTCGGTCGGCGGCCAGTCGACGGCCGGCACTGGCCGCTGCCGCGCGTGCAGTCCGAGGAGAGATGACCCAGTGAGGTGCAGTGTGTTACCGACAGTCATGGGGAACTCGCACAGTGGTAAACACGGCAAGCCGAGCCGCCGGCTGGACCGTCACGCGGCGCTGCGACCTTCTGTGCACGCGCGCAGAGCTCGGCTCATCGGAGTTAGTCAGTTCGGCTTCGAGCCGGCGTTCGAGGCTCCTCTGAACCACGTGCTGCCGGCGCCGGGACGGCCGCGAGCGCACAGCTTCCGCTCGCCTCCTGTGAGCCTGTCGCAGTCGCTGGACGCGCTGCCGACCATCCAGCTGGAGCACCGGCAGTCGGAGCGGCCGCGGCGCAGGAGCGAGCTGCGCGCCTCGCGCTCGGCGCGGCGCAGCTCGCGGCAGAGACCGCCTCCTCCGCCGGCGCCGGTCGCTTCCACAGACGACGAGAGGCCTGCGGTACCTCAGCGGCGCCGGCCACCGAGACGCAGTCGGATGGTGGGCAGACAGCTGCCTGCCGAGCCGGAGCCGCGTGCTGCAGAGAACATCTACGAGACAATACCGAGCGGAGGAGAGGCCTCCTCGGAGAGTGAGGACGGGGAACCCTCGGCGCGCGCCGGCCGCGCACCGGCCTCCCTGTCTCTGCCAGCTCTGGTCCACTGCAGTGGGGAGCAGCTCTCTGAGGAGGACCCTCCCGCTGCCTCAGAGGGTGCCGCCGCTCCGCTGGCCACCTCCTCCCCTCGGCTGTCGGCGCGTGCCTCCCTGAGCTCGCTCACCATCCGTGTGTCGGTACCGGCCTCCCGCTCCAGTGGCGGGTTCAGACGGAGGAACAGCCTGCCGGCCCGGTCGGCGCTCGAGACGCAGGCGCGGCTGGGCGGCTCGCTGCGGCCCGCCTCCTCCTGTGTGGCCGTGGATGAGGTACGGGTTCAGTCGCCGCACTCCACGCTGGTGGACGTGGTGCCGAGCGGAGCAGAGTCGGACGGAGCTGAGGAAGTCTCCAAGGCGGGCGAGCAGGGTGAGACCGCTCGGCAAAACCCTTCAGCTCGCACCACCTCACCCGCTCCGGCGGATGAAACTGACGAGACGGTTCAGGTGGCCGACACTACCGTCGAAATCAAAGAGGATGAAGACGCAGTGGATGGATCCCCTCGCGCCACTACTGCGGACAGACCCGCTGCGGACCCCTGTGAGGACGGTGTCGCGGCGGACAGTGGTCCGGAGGACAGTGAGTGCGGAGAGGACTCGGGGGCAGGCTCACCGCTGGACCAGACACTTGACGTGTCGGCGGCGGAGTTGAGCAGCGACCCGGCGCCAACGCTGGCCGAGCTGGACGCCGTGTTTGATCGAGCCGAGTCGGCGGAGGACGGAGACTGGTCCGGCGCGGAGACGGACAGGGTCGGGCCGACCGTCGGCGACAGGTGAGGCGCGCAGAGCGGTCCTTCCCGACGTTTCAGAATGGTACTGGCCACAGGGCGTGAAGGTGTACAACTCAGTTCTTTCCATGCATGCAAAATTATTTCAGGGCTTGTCCGTATGCGGTGTTACATGCTGACTATTCAGTAGCTGGTCTGCCGCTTTCGTGGCACCTTATGTAGCAACGCAAATGTTGACCGAAATGATCCGTCGACTGGCTTAGGAATGACCACGCTAAAGTGCTGTTACCCCGCTGAGCTGCAGCTCTGCTAAAATCCGGCAGCTTTCCAGGTGAGCTGCAGATCTGCTAAAGCTCTGCCAGCCCTCTCACCCGTTCCGCTATTCCGCTGTGGACCACAGCTGTGGCCGCCGAGACAGACAGGCTATGTCCGTGACGCTGACACCCATAGACGGACAATGTGCCGTAAAGCTAGTCAACCGTACCGAATCGACCGTGCAACGCGGTCAGAGACGTTATCTTCCGCCAGATGACCTCAAAGTGTACCTAGCTGTACTGCCTTCTCTGTAATGGGATACCGGTCGCTGTATTCAACAGAGAAATCTCAGTTCTGATTGACCAGCTATCAGGGGCACAGCGCACAGTGGGCGTTTCAAGGGTTCTAGCCTCTCACAACCTTTCAACCCTTATAGCCTTGGATCTAGGAGACCTACTCCTACGAATTACACACCAAACTGTAGCAAATGCATTAAAGAACGTGAATGCATGACGATTTCCCATGTTATAAGCTTTCGCAATGTGCAGTAACTGCATGAAATGTTGCATAAACGTGGCAAAACGGAGCACTTCCATTCCCCCTTGCAGTTTGGCCCCTGATCGAGCTAGAGCTTTGCGGAAAAAACGAGGTTGCTGCCCGTGATGAGAGAAAGCTGATGATACCCAATTTTAAGGTCCTAGGTCATTGGTTGACCTTCCAGGGCAGGTCAATTTCCCAAAAGTCGGGAAAATCGGAACCTGTTAGAACATCGTAAAGTGAGGTTGCTTTGGGACTTTTCGGGGTGCCGATCACGAATTTCATGCTAGTTTTGATCACAGATGATTTCGTCATGCATTTAGGCCAGGTCGGGTCAGGTCAAGTCAGGTCAGCCAGTATGCGTCCTGCCGGGTATTCATAGTAGGTGTCAACCGCTACTGACAGCCTCGTAACATCATACAAAGGCACCAAAACTACTTCGTAAATGCTCAAATGGTTGCGAAATTCGAAATCAGCTCCAAAAACTAGCCTAGAAACATGTAAAACTCGAAAAAGTGAACCGAGGTCACCAAAGGTCAATGAACTGACCTGACCTTCAGGTGACCTTGACACCCAGCATAATGCATGGAACCAATATCATTTCACATGGTTGAACGTTTGAAACCACAAAAAGACTGCAAACGCGCGGATAATGTGAGCCGACACACGCCGAATCGCGATTCCGGCCAAACATGGTCTCGAGAAATAGGTCACAGGTCAAAGGCCATTGGGGTCAGGGTCATGACATTTTCAGTGTAGGTGTGAAATTGATGAACTCGAATGTACTGAAAGTTTCGTCTTGATCGGCCACTTTTTACGCGAGTTATTCGTGAAAAAACGAGGGTGGTCCGTTCGACCACCTATAAGTCCGAAGGGGTTTTGAGTCGTTGACCTCGAGTCAAAGTCTGGTCAGAGTCCCTCAGGTCACGAACTTGGTCAAAGGAGGGCGACTGTCTAACTTACTTTGTTCCGGAGTTATTGACGGAAAACTAATATGGCCCTAGTGACGTCATAAATGACGTCATGCAAGGTTAGCAATGCAAAGGTGTAGCACCGTACCTTGCAGGGAGCGCATGAAACCATGATTCCATGTGCTTGAGATAGTTATAGATCATTCCTGGCGCTAAAATAACAGCTTCCATATTTTCCTCATTGACTTATAACGGTGAGATCACGCGACCGACCTGACCGCATGTGAACTTTAGCAAAAAATCCGAGATATAAATATACATGTTGTGAGACCTCGGGGTATGCTACGTCCTGAAATCTTCATCTCCCTGTGAACGTCCCTCTGGCACTGAGGGTGTTGCGACGTTGCAACATCTGAGGACCGTGCAGAGGTTCACTTATGACGTCATAGGTCAGCGACCTGACCTGACCTGACCTGAAAATGCGGTTGATTTAACAAGATCCGGCTTGAATCAAAGGTCAAGTACGCCAAGTTTCAGCTCTTTATCGCCGGCGTGTTGTGAGCTATCGCGTTAAAACCTATAAGGGGGCGGCACCCCCCCCCCCCTCGGCCTCGGGGGGGGGGGGGGGTGGCGTGACTTATGCAGAATTTCCCATTAACTCATGTGCAATACTTCTCAATTTTTTTAGGACACAAAATGTGTTTGAGGTTTCGCGAGACCAGACCGGCCGGATCGCCCACTGTGCATCGCCTGAGGCCTTTCCGGTCACGTGACAGCTCATCCTCCGGTCAATTAGAATGCTTCTGACCCACGAGATAACACTGGCTGGTGTTACTGTCATCACTTGAAATAATATAAGCTAAAATGCAGGCTGATTTGTTCGCTCCCGTCACTATGGAGCTAATAAAGGCTAGACGGCGTATTGCAAAATGTTGCATAGCAGCAAATGGCGCAAGTTTGCGCACTTTTTTATTGCTTGGCCGGTTCAATAACATCACAATGCACATGGTGACACTCGATTTAGAGCGGGACCTGGGGGAACTCAAAAGATCGGCTTAACATAGTGAGTGATATTAATTTTAAGCATACAAAATAACTCGGTGATATGTTTACCTCTCATGCTGCTAAATGATTTTCGCAACCTCATTTTTCGTTGCGCGGAATTGATCGTAACATGTCACAGAACAACTCATAAAATCATTGGCGTGTAAAACTCACGCACATAAGATCCCCATGGCATCTACTTTGACTCTTCAAACACCCGAAAACTATGACTTGTCTACGGCCTAAGAAAGCTTTGTGTTTGAAGCCCCTTTCACCCTATACCAAGTTGTTGCATGACCAGATAATGGTCATTTATATAATGTATGGACATTTTGTAGTCGATTGGTATGCTTTTTGTGTTCATAAAAGCAAAATAATTTTTTTGCTCCGTAAGAGGCTAGACCGGCCCGAACGCCTACAGTGCAGCGGAGAGGAAGAGAGCCTCTCTGGTGTGGTATGCAGGTCGTTTGATGGGTTCATGTGCGCTACCAAGTGGAAAGTTGGCGACAGTCAGTGCCATTGGAGATGTGAGAGAGGTGGGCGGTGGAGTATCGGGCTTCTTCTGCTGAATCACAGATCCACAGTCTGTCGGCACCAGCCGTGACACGATGTCCCGTCCACTCATTGTGGACGGCTCTGCCGCCGCGCCACTCTCCACGGACCAACATTGTGTGCATGATGGGGGTACTTGGGTTCAGGTCTCTCACTCCCCTCTCTCTTCTCTCTCTCTCTCCTCTCTCTCTCCTCTCCCTCTCTCTCTCTCTCTCTCTCTCTCTCTCTCTCTCTCTCCTTACCTCCCTCCATCTTTTCCTTTGCCTTCTTTCTACCTGGTTTGCCTGTCTATTTATCTGTCTGACCCTCTCTGCCTCCGTCCTTCTCTTCCTCCATCCCTCTCTCCATCCCTCTACTTCCTTCCTGCTCCCTCTCTCCCTCAGTGTCATATCGGCCGATCACTGCCGCCGCAGCGCGGCGGCAGCTGCCGATCCGCTGATAGTCGGCACAATGCAGCGGTGACCCGGTGCAGTACCCACCCTGGCCTGTGAAGGTCACCAGCCGCTAATTGGGATGACGCAGTCGGATGTGACGGCTCAGCACAGCCAGTGATTTAGTAAAGCACGAAGCAAAACGAACCAGTTTTTTGACGGCCTGTGCGCTCGATGAATTGTCAGTGTCTAATAGGTTTTCAACTCTGCTTAACCTAAACTATCGTGAATAATTAATTCATTAATGAAGACCACAGAGACGTGTCCTCCAATTCGATTGTGCTATCAGTGAGGCATGAATTTTAGGTCATTTTAGCACACCAGATGTCGTTGACCGGTCACTACACCTTCAAAGAGATGACACATATAGGTACCGAACCTTCTGCGCAGCGGGCAGTCTCATCTCAATGGAATTCAGGGCAGTTAAACCACGGAGTGAGTTGCAGACCGCTATCAAATTCAGCGCCAAAGCTGCAATTATAAATGCATTTTGCCCCGATTTTCCGCCGCCGACCTTGCTCCGACCTTCGGCTAACGCTACTCCGATTAATTGTGCCCCGTTAGCGCTCGCTCGGATGGGGTCAGTTTGGTGTCATGTGCTCACCATGCCAACCACGGGAGGGCTGTGGTAGCTTCATGCCATTATTATGCAGTCCGATTTCATCAGTCTAGCTGTGGTTTGCTATATACATAGAGCTACGGCATGTAGATAGCTAATATTGTTGGAACATTACCGGTCGGGGCGTATACATATATTTCCACGTGCAGTTATCTGGATGAGGGCGGGGAGGCGTTGTGCTGGCCGGGTGCAGGGGGCAATGCTGGGCGGGAGCGGGTGCAGGGGGCAGTGCTAGGCGGAGGCGGGGAGTGGGGCACTGCTGGGCGGGGGCGGGGGCGGTGCTGGCCGGGCGCGGCCGCTCTGGTCAGGCTCGCTCAGCATCCGGGGCGGCTGGGCGGAGTCCCTGGCTGCCGGCCGTCCCGTCACGCTCCGCCGCCCGGACCGGCCCGGCGGACTGCCGGACTGCCGGACTGCCGGCGCGCACCGGCCGCAGATGGCTCCCAAAGGCCCACAGCTGACGCGTCGACCGCCAACTGAACGGTACAACTGCGCTCGGAACGTCCGCGACCGCCGCTACTCCGGCAGAAACCGACGGCTCTGCTCCGACCTGACCTGGGACACTCGGAGTAGGTCTGAATCATCGTCTGCAGTTTGGAGAGGGAATCTCGGTCGCCTCACGGCTGACGTGAGGGCATGAACGTAAGGCGTTTAACACCAGTGAATTGATGTGCGGTGGCCAGTGGTCATTTTCGAACATTGCTCATGTAATCTCTTCCTAGGAGACGTGAGAAATTTTCGTATGGAACGGCCGTCGCTACTTATCAGATGCGCGACAAGCCATTGGCTTGTGGTGATGTGAGGGTGTCTGTTTCCTCGTTTGTTTGACAAATGGACATCATCTGACCATCAGTTCTTCTTCTCCATTTCACGCACTATTCGACCCACAGTTAAAAACCCGAATTATGCCTGAACCATACCCGGTGGGCTGGCTCTAATAAAACGAACCATCCTCGACCGCGACGCTTAGTAATCACTAGACCTAACAGATAATTTGCTCCTCCACTCTTCAGCTTGGAGTGAGTCAATTACTCCAACCTAACAAGGGGTACCTGAGTTGCATAGCAAGACGGCCGCTCGCCGAAGGCGAGCGGCCGTCGGGTGTGGCAGCTGTATAGGCGGTCTCCTCTCCTCTCTCTCTCTCTCTCCTCTCTCTCCTCCTCTCTCTCTCTCTCTCTCTCTCTCTCTCTCTCCTCTCTCTCTCTCCTCTCTCTCTCCTCTCTCTCTCTCTCTCTCTCTCTCTCTCTCTCTCTCGACCGTCTCCAATCTGTCACCGCGGTAACGCGGCCCATGTCATCTCATTTGGCAGTAGTAGCTCGGCTGTGCTGATCTCTCCTCTCTACAACAGAGTGCAAGACCACCGCCTCCTCATATTGGCGCCAGTCGCTTGGTCCCTCTCTTCCTTGGAAACTAAACTGCTGAGCGCGATCCGTCGGGAGTTCGGTCCGCATATCGACGTCGCCCGCCGTGCCGGTCGCTCCTCTCCGCGCCCAATACCGAACCGCTGCTCGCTCTGACCGGCTAACTGTGTCGAGCGCCGTGGCGCGGCACCCAGTCACGTGGCGATTATCCGCCCCACCGCCACCGTCACCGTTCAGATGTGGGCCAGCGCAGAGCGCGTCGGTGCCGTCTCTGCTCCGGAGGCTGAGAGGAGCCGATTCTCCGGAGCGAGAGGAGCGGCCGTCTCGCCGCGCTGACCGTCGTGGGAGCGTCGGACGGCGTCGGCAGCCGGAGACACATGGCGGCCAGTGACCGACTCGGGCGGAACTGCTGCAGAGTGGACGGTCGGCGTTATTGGAGGAAGTGGCCGGTCTTGGTGTGGCAGGTCACTGTCTGAGCGGCAGGCAGTTATCAGAGTCACTTCTCAGAGGAAGAGGGTGGGTTGCCACTGGAGGAATACATGAATGTTTGTGTACAGGATAGGTTGGTTACATAATTGTTGCCATTTTTATTACTTTGCTGCTCGGACATTCTGCATTTGACGATGACTGGATTCGGCCCGAATAGGCGATAACTGATCAGTTCCTAACTACCCACCCCTCCGGTATCCGAGGGGTGACCTGTACCGACCCCTGCCCGGCGCGTGTCCCTGTGTCTTGTTACGGCGGCCTCCAAGATGTCACGAGCGTGACGGCATGCCGTGACGTCACGGCCGATCGCGTTTGGAAACCGCTGCTCAATGCTCCGTCTGGGGAGAAATCGCACTATGCGCCGCGCGAAACCAACTGCTGGCTGCCGCTCCGCTAATCCGCTGTCGGATGAGAGATGAGAGGTGACATGTGGCGAGTGGAATATCGTTACAATTTAAATGAGTCCGCATGAGGAACATCTAACAAATAATTCGCTTTGTTTTCTCTCACAAAACCAGCAAATTATCTCGAAGCGGTAAAGCATACGTCTGAACGGGTCGTTTGAATGGGCGTACCGACTCAAGAGCGGCATTAACTGACGAGGGTGGATGTCCAGAGTCGTTTTTTAAGCGTTTTATCACTAATGACCGGTGTAACGGCGCCGGATCACAGCTGGTGTCCGCTCGTACCGAGATACTTATTGCCTTTTAGGGTGTGCAATAGCGACTCAGTAACACATGTTGCAGGTCTAGTTATCGTCAATTTGTGGTCAAATTACTGCATTAAGCTATACCGGAGTAGGTAGACATGCAACGAGTTTCCTCAGTTTTAATTATTCTAATGGCAATGTAAATGTCGCTTAGATAAAATATCATCACGTACGCATTACACTTGCTGCCTGCTGGTGAATAAATTATGGCTGACGCAATACGCAAATACGCTAACCCATCCTTGGAAGCAGGCCTTTTTTTAACCATGGTCAAAAGGGTCCTGCATCTTCTCCGCACTCAGTACATTCTCTCTAACCCCCACGTCCCATCTTTCCACAGTGCCAACAGTCAGATGGAGAACGCGGTGACTCCCGTCTACCTGGCCGCTCAGGAGGGACACCTGGACGTACTCCGGTACCTCGTGGACGAACAGGGCGGCTCGCTCACCCTGCCCGCTAAGGACGGCATGGCACCGGTCCATGCCAGCGCCCAGATGGGCTGCCTCAGCTGCCTCAAATGGATGGTGAGTGACTTTGCTCAGTTGTCTCAAATGGATGGTGAGTGTGTCATTGGCTCAAATGGATGGAAAGAGTTCCTGGCTGAGCTTTATGTATCAAAGGGAATGTTGGCTGCTTCCGGTTTGTCTCCCATAGAGGTTGTTGCTGTGCGTTGATCTGTTAAGCGTCTGGAGGGTAAAAAGAAAATTGGTTAACCTTCTTAAGTGCCTTTATATCATTCATTTTTCCCTGGAATAAAAGACCGGAAATGTTGATGAGCGACTTGTTTTATCTCTAGGCATTTATCAATTTGGTGTAACAGAGAGTAAGACGTTCGTAAGGTATCGATATTTACTCGTAAACATAAATATATGGGAATGTTTCATTTATAAGTATGCTGCACTTTGAAAGCATCAAATATCATCCAGTCTCACTTACGTATCAATTTGGCCAGCTTTGCCCACACCAGTCAACGAGGAGTCTAATTTCCCGTAGCGTTAGTTGTGGGCGCCAGTGGGCGCCATGTAGGGAGCTCACAAACCGTGAAATTATCTGTCACTCAGACCGACGTATTTTGATCTTTGCCTCGTTTGATTTGTCGATACGGCGTTAGCCTTGGAATGTGACCTGCCCTGAGGGCATTCTATTCGAATAATTGAGTTTATCCCATTGAGGCAATGTCAGAAAAAAGTAATGCTGCTGACCACTGATGCGTGGACGCCGGACGGTCCAAACAAAGCCTCCCGTTATGCATAATTAGTTCGCCCCTTGCATTCACTCGGGCGGCGATCTCACCTCCGCCTCCCGAGCTGCAGTGGCAACAGGCTGCTCCGAGAACGATGCTGGCGAAAGTGGCCTGATGCGAGGCCCATAATACCGTCTGGTCCACTGACCGCCAGCGTTTTGAACCGCGTACCCAGCCAGCCGTGAAAACGGACGGCCAAAGATGGCGATGAAGGATGCGATAGTCACTTTGCAGGCGCGTGTGTACTACAGTGGCCTTAGTCGTTTGGAATCACATGCATATGCAATATGCATGGGATAGTTTTATTCAACTCTGGATAAATTAAGGTAAATGATCACTTAGTGTGTGCGTGCACGTGCGCATTTCGGGAAGAAGCCGGCTCAGGCCATTTAAAATGGGATTCTAAGCTGTAATAACGAAACGTTTATCTTCTGCGACAACGTCGTGTGCTTTATTGAAGTCCCCAGGCTGGCTAAACTATCACGGCGGCCTGGACACACTGCAGCTTCCAAGTGTTTGAGCTGTAACGTCTCAAGTGAAAAGGAACCAACAGTACTCTGACCTCTGAAGATACAGTGGATGCTGATCGTCTAATTTTGTTGATAGCAATCCCTGACATTGTTCAAACTGCGATAACACTGATGATAAGCTCGGAGATCGAACAATCAACATGAACAGTCAGAGAAGTAGGCCGGACCTAGAACAGAACCATCAGGTCTCGGCTTTTAGAGCGCGAACGGTATAAAACCAGTTCGTTCTCGCGAGACTCTTCACACACTGTTCAATTGGACTGTGTCTTATTTCCCACCAGCGGCAGTCAAGTGTTTAAAGGAGACGGAATCAGGCGCTGTTTGGGCCGAGTTCGTTACAGTGAGCAGTTGGGTCGGAACGACATTAAGAAGAGTACGTCTAAACACATTGTCGAACAGAGCAGGAAGATGAGAAAGGCCGGGTCTCTTGTGCTTCCGGTCACATTGGCTAAGACAGGCTAGATCGTTCCCTTGGAGATTGAAAGACGCTGAGGCAAGTCTGTTCTATTTTCCTACGTAGTACGTGCTGAACGGTCAGAGATACTGGGCGATCGGGCGATCCCTGACCGGCCCAGTCGCTGTGACGAGACGGAAGGACAGATGTTTTTTTAGTTACCCCGGTTGGGCCCGGTGAGACGGTACCGGTCGGACAGTGACGTCGGCCCGGCTCGGTCCCTGTGACCGCTCAACTGACCCACATCACCCTGCAGAGTCAGCTGGTACTCTGGGAACAGCCGGCGGACCGGCCGGCCACTGAACGGTCACGGTCGGCTAGTCCAGCGACCCGCCAAGCCGCCGCATATAATCAGAAACCGCTCACCGGCACACGTCCCCTCCCCCTCCCCTCTCCTCCGGGCTTCACTAGTCTGCCGTCGATCAGCTGACGTACCCCTCCCCAGCACTGAGATATTACACGGCCACACGACTCGCTCAGTCTGGCCCAGCAGCACCTCCCTAATCAACACCATGTGGTCACCGTCATAATTGCAGGACTTTGAAATTGTTCATATGGTGGCGAAACTGCTGCATCATGAATCTGAACAGCATAATAATCGTATACCAATTACCATGACAAGCGAACTTGGATGATGAGATGCTACGTTTCGACACATCTGACTGATTATGAATTATTTCATTTTTTAGCAAAGTTGAATAGAAATGTTATTATCAAAGAAATACTATTAAAAAAGATCAATTAGGTATCCTATCCATGCCTGATGTCTGATGACTTTGAAGGTATGGAAGCTCGCAAGCCCTAAAAAAAGACTCGAGTGCCATGGTTAGACATGACGCTAAAGCCTATTTGATTTTTCCAGGTTCTTGAGAAGGACGTGGACATCAACATGCGAGACGGCGACGGCGCCACGCCGCTCCATTTTGCGGCCAGCCGCGGCCACACTCAGATGGTTCGCTGGCTGCTGCGGCACGGGTCCAAAATAGTGCTGGACAAGTACGGCAAGTCGCCCATCAACGACGCGGCCGAGAACGAACGGATAGAGGTGGGTCGGAACGGCGGCGACCAACAACAATGAAACCTCTTTTCAGACTTTCGGAAGATGTAATTCAACTATTTGCTGATAGTGTAACAAATCGCAAGGGAGATGCAGGTGGATTAATCTTATATTTGACTGTTCTGTTGGTTTTTCAATTATCCACACATTGTTACGAGTATAATTAAAGCACTCGTATAATTAAAACGGTTTGGCACGTTTCAAAATAATTCGACCGCTGTCTCGTCAGTCCCGGTGCCGTTTCCTGAGACCTCCGCGTGTGTCCGTGTTTCAGTGTTTGTCGCTGCTGGTCCAGCATGGCACCGACCCCGATTACGACATGGATGAGGACGCCGACAGCGGTCGCCAGTCCAACTCCAACTCCAACCCGTGCTGCTGCAGGGGGAAGGTGAGAGACCTCCAACCCCAGCAGATAATGCTATGGCGCAGGGTGTGATGGATGCTTCAGCACTGAGCCGGATTGACAATGGAAGCCGTTCATCTTTCTGTGAACTTGTCTGTGTTCTATTGAATACCGTATATTTATTGAACCTTTAGAGCTCTGCAGTGCTCGTCTCACCACCACGGTGACTGATGTATTCCGGAGTGCATACTGACGATGTTGTTTGTCGTAACGGCCGATCCGAGTTTGAATAATCGATTCACGCCGTGGGTGACCTCTGGACGTGCCGGAGCCGTGTCCGGGTGTTCAGCCGCCCCGCTACTCTCCCACTGACGTCACGGTGTTGGTTCCACAGACGTCTGCCGGCGACTCGTCCGGCCCGTCCAGCCCCCGTTCCACCGAGTCCACGTCGTCCCACTACTACAGCGGGGGCAGCTCGGGGCGAACACTCTCCGTTCTACCTGCACCGGCCGGGCGCCGCGCCGGCCGCTCCGGGGGGCCCACCGACCGGGCCCCGGACCCTGAACGCCGGACACAGGCCGTTCTACCTGCACGAGCCGGGCGACTCGGTCTACCACCGGGTCAACGAGCTGTTCAACTCGCTGACGCTGGGGCACGAACCGCGAGCCAGCAATGGAGATAAGAAGCAGCAGCGGCGCAGGAGGGACGGGGAGAAACAGAAACTGAAGCGGGCCGCGCCGGCTGCGGAGGTGCCGCCGCCGCCCCCGCCGCCGCCCCCGCCACCGGGTACGACTCAAAATGGACAGGGATCCCCACCGCCGCCGCCACCACCGCCGCCACCGCCATCAGCTACCAGCAAAACTCTGCCGAGGTTACCAGGTAGGTCGACCGGCGCTGCCTGGCCTTTTCTATGAAAGTCATAAATTGATACAACATAAAATCTAGCACTTGTTTTTAACAAGTGCTAGATTTTATGCTAAGTGCTAACAAGTTTTTAGCACTTTAACTTTTGGTGGCTTCGCACAAATTTTATTTATTTCATTTTATCAACAGCGTCTAAGCCGGGGACGCCACCCGCCATCACGGAGCCTGTCAGTCAGAAAGAGGCCGACGCTCGACGACCTGGCTCCGGAGGTGAGGCGTCCATGTTTGTGGGAGAATAATTTGTAGTAGAGGCAGTACTGCACTGATAAGTAGAGAGGTCCTCGTCGTCTCTACATATTGGACTCGTTCGGCGGCTTGACAGGAGTTAACTCTGTATTTGTTTACCCACTTCCGCTGGGTTTCTCCACAATTATGTGCCAATAACAAACAACCATTTGACGCCTCATTATTGGCTCATTATAACTCGCTCAACTTTCGGTTTCCGTGGTAGGGTCGACTTTCCAAACGGTAATCGTTTTGTTGTCTAGTTGACAGGATAAGTCAACCACAAACGATACTAACCGAAAGTGTTGTTCTCAGGAGGCCTTCACCCGTACACAAACGTGGCACCTTACGAAATAGTGGCCGACGTTCATGAGAACAGCTCTGACACAGAGTCCATTCCACCTCCGCCGGGTGAGTTATATTAAGCGGACCGATCAAGAGGCTCAACTCAGTTAGCCCAACAAGAATCGTGTCGTTATAAAAAGGAAATGCCTACGCCCATAGCGTATCTCTCGTCGTCCTTTTTTGTATTGTGTCTGTATTTATGTGATCCGTCAGCCAGGACTCGCTTGTTTTTAACAATAAAAATGTCATATTCTATAAATAAATGCCTAAACCAATAAAATGTACACAGCTTGTGACATCTCCTCGCTGCCGGCTCGTTTACAGAGTTCGGTGATAGCAGCAGCTCGGGCCGCGACAAGAGCCCTCTGCGTCGACTCCACGCCCTCTCCTCAGCCAGCAGCACCTCCAGCGGGCCTCCCGTGCCGCTACCGCCCAAACCCGCCCCCGCCCCCGCCCCGGACGCGCCGCCCGCGCCCCTGCCGCCCAAACAGAAACGGCGGGAGGCCGGCCACCGCGCCGCCCCCGCCGCCGCCCCCACCCAAAACGGCGACTCCTGCCGCCCACAAGGCGCCTCCCCCGCCACCCCCTCCCCCTCCGCCGCCCCCGCCGCCACCCCCTCCACCCCCGCCTCCTCCGAGCCAGGGCGGCAGCGCCGAGTCGTCCGCGGCAGAGGGCAGCACCTCCGAGGAGCAGACTCTGCGGCCCAGTCAGCTTAAACAGGCGTCCCAGGGCGCCGACACCAGTCTTTCAACGCTGCGGGAAGCGCGTACGTCAACAGTCGTTATACGGGATTCTCAGTAGTCCTGTTATTTTTGGTGATTTTACATGAATGCCTTTTGTGCATTTATCAATCATTAGATTAAGCGAATTGAGAAAAATAATATCGGCCCTTTCTCAGTATCAGATCATAGCCATGAATAGTATAAGCCAATTATTGCGGTGGAATTTACTGACATGCCCTATAAGGTCCTAAATATGACGCCTCAGACTCCTGCTGTGATGTTTTGCTGACCGCCGGCCCTCCGGTTCCCAGGTCAGGTCCGCGGCAGCCGCCCCACCTCCCTGCCCGCGGACGCCGGGGAGCACCTTTTCTGCCCAGCTGCAGGCGGTGACAGGCGACCCGTCCAGCTCGGCCGGCACCCTGCTGACCACCGCCGCCAAACTCAAACACATGCCGGCCGTGCCGTTCATCCCGCCCAAGTTCCCGTCGCTCGCCGACCCCAACCAGCTCATCAAACCGTCAGAGTACCTGCGCTCGATCGGCGGCCGGCCGATTGCGCCGCCTGGCGGCCGGCAGACGGCGCCACCGTCGGAGCAGGGCGCCGAGGACGGTCCCGTCAGCCTGAGCTCCGACAGCGGCGTGGACTCGATCGCCTCGTCCCAGCCGGCGCCGCCGCCGCTGCCGGCGATCCCTGAGGCGGCCCAGGAGGGCGGACCTCCGCCTCCCCCGCCCCCTCCGGCTCCTGCGGCCGGTCCGCCGCTGGTGGCTATCTCGGCCAGTCAGCTGCAGCAGGTGCAGCTGAGGAAGACGGCCGACAAACTCACCAAGACCTACTCGGCGCCCGTGGGCGGCGCGACAACAGGTGAGCCACCGATAAACCGGGCTGAGATTGGGTCGAAAAGACACTAAAATAACATCCTACCGGGCTTGGCGTATTGTGTGCCAAGACAGATAAGGCTATCGTGCTACCTAGTCCTTCCATACATGGCTTTAAAGTGAATGCAGACGCATTATTCTCTGTAAAATATCGTCATACAGTAGGGAATATCTTACCGCAACTTACCATAACCTATCAATCATGTAATATTTTTGGGTTTTACCTGTCCATGGAAGACGTTGCGGGGAATGCGGTGATTCCGTTATTTTTGCCCCAGCCCAAGGCTGACCTTCCTCACATGACGGGAGACGGTGGATGGGACGCGAGCAGTGATCAATAACCACAGAGGGAGTCCAGTAGAAGACCGCAGCCCGTTCATAAAGCCCGGCACTCCCTGGCTGATGTCCATCTCACCACCGGTCCCCGCCGACCGTCCCCGCTGGCCCGACCACCATACATCAGCCCAGAGCCGAGCGCCGGAAGGACACACCCCGCACCCGTCCTCTGACCGCAGTACCGGTGATGAGCCGACCGGGGTCACTGCGGGATTGGTCCGTGGGTGGGTGTCCCCGTCCAGCCACTGTCCGATCAGCAGCTTAGTTGGAGTGCTGGACTTCCGGTGGCGGGAGTCCGGTTTAAGTCGCTCCGGTGCCGGTTATATAAGACTTCTGACAACGTTGTTCGTGGTTTACCGGAATATTCAATTTAACGAGTGGACCTGACTGCGTCCGGTTATATTGTCGACGATATACGTTTATTGACGTCACTAAACGCTCAGGTGACCCACACTGTATGCCGGAAGTCCAACATGACCTCGCAATGACCTCATCCCTCTCCCTGCGTCCAGCCAACAACAACATGTTGGTGAAGAAAGACGACGTCATCGCCGAGCTGAAGCGCAGCAAGGACATGGATGGCGTACGAAAACTGCGGGAGGAGCGGGCCAAGTCGGCCGTGCAGATCCTCCGGGAGGAGAGCAAGGAGATGAGCAAGGAGTTCACCGCCGAGGCTTTCCTCAGCGAGGTGAGCAAACACTCGGGATACGCTTCCGATGGAATAACAGCCGCTTATACTATATGTTTGTTGGTTATAGCATGTCGGGCAATTAGTGTCCTTTTATCGGTATACTTTTCAGTTAATTGATTACAATCGTCCTCTAGAGCTTATTTATCACTTTAACGTTAGCTAGACTACGCTTGCGAGGACTGATTTAGAGCATTTCTGTTGATAAGACACGCTCTGTATGATCGCGTACATCGTAAAAACGGTAATAATGTCCTCAAATGGCTACACACAATCCTCCCAAATTGCTGGGCTAACTACCTTCATATCTATTGCCTTAGGGCGGTATACATGAATGGAACTGCTTACAAAAGACATAGTTTCTGCCCAACCCATGATACGCAGTTGTTGTTCTAACATGAATGTAAATGTCAATTAATGCAAACCTTGATATTTCTCGTCATAAATCTACGAAAACATCTGAATCTCCGCATAATGTTCTGCCATCAATACTGTGATTACAGCAGTCAGTATGGTCGTATAGCCATATTTATGGCGGTACTAAGGATGAAGGCCACATCACGAAAGTATCGGCTTTCGCTTTATCTTCAAACAACACAGGTCCTTGAACCTAATGAATGGAAGTTCACTGCTTGTGCTTCTGTTAGTCAGCTAATATTTAATAATGATGCAAAATAATGGATGATATCATTTTCATGGTTGGGTTGAAGCTGATATGATATTTGATATGTGTAAACTAATACGCTTCTGGAAGATTCCGGCCCAGCTTTGTCCAAGGAACTGTCAGAAAATTAACAGACATAGCTGTCATTGTTTTTAGAAAATCACCCTTATCGGATGTCCACCACGAGTCGCCTTTCCGCTGACAGAAACTAATAAAGATAACTCCGAATGCCAAGTCTGCCATGTTTCTTACGTGGATTAAATCACCACAAAGCTGGTTGTTTTCGAGTTATTTTTATATAAGCTTCCGTGATATTTATTTCGTATTTATTATTTCAGTTGTATTTTGTATCTATATGCCGAGAATTTCGCACCAAGAGCTATGACAGCGCCGTTTATAAAAACTTCGCGAATGATTTCAGATTCCCGAGACGGACGCGGCCGGTAACACGATTCCGGCGTGGAAGCGACAAATGATGGCGCGAAAGGCAGCTGAGCGCGCCAAAATCGCCGCCGAGGAGCAGCGTCTGAAGGACCTGGAGCAGCAGAAGATGCAGGCGCTGCCGCCCTGGAAGCGGCAGCTGATCGCCAGGAAGGAGGAAGAGGACGCCAAACGGTCAGTGGGGGGAGAGAGACTGACCGGTCAGTGGGGGGATGGGAGCTGGTCGTATGGCAAACGGTCAGCTGGAGGATTGGTAATCGAAAGACATTTATATCTATGCGACCAACGGAGCACAATTTTGATGCCTACGGTGCGGTTAAAGACAGAGGCTGGTTCTCTTTCTCTGGTCAGATGAACAAGCTTATGTTTCAAATATGTGGGTGCTCATTTCTGACTAAAATATACTGCACGGGATGCATTTGCTGAAGGAGAGATAATTAATTGTAAAATAGCAGCTCTCCCGTTGCCCAATGATAAACTATGCGTGCTCTTTTGACTTGGCTTATGACTTTCTGTCCACTGGCGTCGTTTCACTTCGCTTAAGTTTTAGTTTCGGCATGCGCTATCGTCTTTTGTTGGTTAACTTAGCTTTGAAACGCACCCAGCACCGCTTTTCTCGCTATCTACATTTATCTTTTTCTTCTTTTCACGCACATTCTCCTCTAAGTCGTTGGCTGAGGTGGAAGGAAACCAGTGTCTTATGCGTCGCTAAAATCAAATGCTTTTTCGGAACCATTTTCGGAATGTTTCATTACTCGTAAGACATCTTCTCGCCTCTCAACTCTAAACGTCTTACATCCTTCGTCACTTACAAATGTTTTGTCCCTCTTTGACCACTCAACAACCAACAGTTAGCCGTTTCACCTCAGCCAAAGTGACGTCATCTCAGCCGCAGTGACGTCACCTCAGCCGCAGTGACGTCGTGCGGTGAGATCAGCCCTCTCGGCAGCGTCCACTAACTCTGGTCACGGCGTGTCCGGTCGGCCGGCCGGGGGCGCCGTGACCCTGCCCGCTGTCGCTTAGCCGGTCACACGCGCTGTTGCAGGTCGCACGGGCCCTGAGAGACAGCACAAAATCGCACCATGCACTCGTAGTGTACAGCACGGGTAAGTGTGTCCGTCGGTCCTCCAGTCCAAGATTACTTTGCTAATACTCCAGCCAGGCTCTTGATTTCCTCCGGCGTCAAAAGCCACCAGTTAGTGCGCAGAGAACCTTCAGATCTGAGGTGGAAACCTGATGCTACTCAGAGAAAAGCCGGTGTTTTTATCACTCTCGCGGCTACTGTTCAGATCCGAGGCCAGATACGAGTCCCGCAATCCGTCATGATCTCATTTTTTGTATACTCAAAACCGGATTTGTGATGTTGAACATGGTATTACAGATCAAACACACAGTGTATTACCTTGTAAAATCCAGGAATATAACGTATGTACTATGCAGTTCATTGAGCTGCACTCGATCAAAGTGAGCAGCCAACTTGTTCAAATGCCGACCTTGGCTGTCTCAAGGCAGCTCAGAACCTCACAAAACCGGCCTCTATCCATTCCTGCCGAGGAGAGCTGGCAGAGAATTAAGAAGCCAGCGGCAGAGTAGAGTCCTGTCACCCGACGCTTCTGATTTACGCCGGCCTATCGGACCTTCCTCAGCGATAAACTGTCGTCCGCCTGACCCGTGTACTTCATGCATAGTGTATGCGGTACCTTGACACACTACTTCTGCAGCTGCGGAGCGTTAAATACTAGGCTGGGATTCGGCTTAACCGATCTTCGCTTTGATACTATCCTTTTGCTTCTAACAGTCAGATAACTTTTAATAGCACCACATCCTAGAACGGACTTGATTTACCTGTATTTTTAACTGCTACAGCCCTCCAACTTTGTCATTAACCGTTTCACTAACTAAATTATCAATGTTACAACTGTTTTTTTACCGTTACATGAAAGGTGACGTTTTACAGCAGCACAGTGACCTCTAACAGTGACCTCTGACCCCTCACCCCTCCCCGCTGACCTCGTCCCTCTACCCAGCGTCTGACGGTGCGCCTATGTGTCGACAGCCGCTCGATGACCAGCTGCCGACGGGTGCCGATGGCGGCGCCCACCCCCGAGGAAATGATGAAGACAAGAGCGGCAGGACCGCTGGCCGTGCACCGGTAGTAGAGGCTGCCGGCCGGGAGGGCGCTCTGTACCGCTCGTGGGTGTTCTGCCCCCGGCTAGGGACGTTGAGTGCCGACCTGCAGGACCTGCAGGTTCTGTCCCGGCCCCGGGGAGTCCTGTCCCGGCCCAAGGCGTCTTGTCCCGGCCCGAGGCGCTTCGTTCCGGCCATGGGCGTCCTTGTGCCGGCGCGGCGCGTCCCAGTTGTGCCGTCCGATCGGAGGCCGCAGGCGGACTCTCGGTCCCGCCGGCAGACGGACCGGACCTTCCGTGGTGATATCTCTGCTTACCGTCCGCAGCCGCCGTCCGTGGGGTGATGTATGGTGAGTGGAGTCCCCAGTCACCACTGCACTGTCGACAGTGGCGACGTCTGAGACAGAGCCTCTCTCGCTCAGAGAGCCGCCACAAACACATGTGTCAGGCTCAGCCAGCAGCCGACAGAGGCCACTCGGCTGTAATAGACACCGCGAGGAGCCGCCGTTCTGCGCACCAACCTTGAGAGAAGCTGCTGGAAGGACAGGAGGACGCGCGCGGATTCCAGGCAGGAGGGCGCCGGCAGCCGGTGTCTCCTGCTCGGGGGGACGTGGGGGGGGGGGTCTCAGCACTGCGTGCTGACCGGGGCGACACGGGACAATGCCATGTGATACTGTGTCCCGTGCGCCCCGAGGCGGCTGCGTCTGGTTGACGCATCAGATGTGCGAGCGTGTTGAAAGTGTGGAAGTGTGAGTGCTTGCGATTGTGGACAGTAGCTTATAACTAATGTTCATTTGTCCAGAGAATGCATGTTTGGAGTGAGTGTGTTTATCTAGTGCTTATCACTTGCTCTGTTAACCATGGGTCGAATGCCAGCAGGACATACTTGGTCGTAAACGTCTTTGGATGCTTTTAGATGGCTTAGGTCTCATATGTGTTAAACACGTAGACGAGACATTTTCTCTGAACACTTTTCAGTGATTGGAAAGTGCTTAAAGAGATAACGCAGAAGTAGAATTGTATGTACGGACGTTTTGACAGGCGTCGTGATATGAATTCAAGGAATGTATGAAGACTTTACGTGACAAGATGACGTATATTCGACTACATAACAGCAGAGCTACATAAGTAGATTTTGAACTACGTGATGATCTGAAATACAACTGGTTGGATACCACGAATGTATTTTTCCTCTTCACTAGTTTTTTACACATACCTACACACTATAGCAAGGAGGGAGTGGAGGTAGGCTGTCCCGCACTACTCCACATTATGGCGGTACTCACACACTATAACAGACAGTGATTGAGGGTAGGCTGTCCCGCATTACACCAAAGTATCGCGGTACTTACACAATACACATTACACACACTATAGCAAGGAGGGAGTGGAGGTAGGCTGTCCCGCACTACACCAAAGCATGGCGGTACTTACGCTTTAGCAGACAGGGAGTGGAGGTAGGCTGTCCCGCACTACACCAAAGTATCGCGGTACAAGACATTTGCGTCGATTCGCAACTGGGCTGGGTACCGCGCTCCCGAATTTTGTATTTATTCTGTATTTATTCAGTTTATTGCCAACAGGACAGATTCCCAATGATAGGCAAAGTCGAGTAGATAAAACACAAACAATAAATAAATAAATATGCGTCACAATATTACAGATGGTCACTTGTCAGGCACCTGGCTAGTCGTGCGATAATCGTCGCCCTGCCGTCGCAGAACATATCAACGGTAGGGCAGCGTGCAAGAAAAACATTGGTGAGTCTGGGTAATCTACAAAACATGCCGTTTTTAATAGTATTCACTCTGGCGACAGGCTCGAAAAAAGCAGCACGGTAGCGAGTGCTTCTGGATGGTACACGAATAGAGAAACGGCCCAAAAGATACATCGAGTCACATCTACCCTGGATAATGTTATGTATTGCGACGGAATACAGCATTTTCGCGAACAATGATATAGGTATTGACGAGAAGCACGAGCGCCGTCTGCAGTCCTCGGGAACGAGAACAAATAGTATGGTGAAGGCTAGTACGTTTGAAATCATCAAGGATAAAGGAAATGTTCGACTAACTGTTCCGTGTATCTCCTTGGAGTATAACCATTTCGCTCACCTTCTATTATTCTCCCGGAGAGTTCGGAATTGTGTAATGTAATCCCTCGGCGCTGAGTAATCTGGAACTCGGCCTTGCAAGGAAATCCACCAGGATATTGCTCGCCAGAATGTACGCATAAGGCTGAAAGCATCCAACGTCCGGTTTCGCAAGACGATACGAGACTGGTGTAATTGCTTCCCCTCCCAAAAACTGTCTTTTGCACAGCTAGAACAACATCATACAGGTCTGGAAAATAACATCCGGCTTCATAGATGAATAACTGGGAGGAACTGAACCATAATACGTTTCAATATAATGTGTGAATGATTCATTGCAGGTGCGAAAAAAAAAGAGAAAAAAAAAATTGAGTTTCCAATTTTGTCCTTTAGCATTCAATACGTAGCATGCGCTTCTAGACATTGCCTACATTTTGCATGGCTCCGGGAGCCTTACACAAAATATCCATCTTTGAACAATCCGAACAGTCATATTGCCATTTGCGTCAAACGTTTACCTGTAAGAATTACATTACTTATTATCACAATTTGATAAAATCATAGGCACCGCAAGACGATTAAACGGGGACACAACATACCGGTGGTTGTCGGACTCGGTAACACTAAATCCTCTAAATCAATGGTGACAGCGCTGGCGGCTTTCGGTGGACATTTCTCTCTATTTTTACACAGTCATCATCGCAGATGGGACGCCGGGTGCCGGCTCACCGGCAGACGGCACCCAGCCGCAGCCGTAATCCCCCCAAATAACATACCGCCGTGCTTACGGCCGCGGCCGCGCCGGTCGGCTGTAAATAAAGCTGAGTGTCCACCAGGACCGGAGTGCCAGGGGCCCAGTGCAGCGGTGAGCCGGCCGCGGTATGTGCCGGCCGTCGGGCGCGGTGGGCCGTAGCTCGCCGTTCTGCAGTCCTGTCTCGGTGTCATGTGCGCCGGGCGTGATCACGGAGCGTCGATGGATCGTTCGACAGGCTGCCTCCCCCAGTCGCCGTGCTGTCAGCCGGGACTCGGCAGGACTCTGACCGTCCTCCGCCCCCGCTGCGCCGCGTCCTTGGCTGGCCCGCTGCAGGAGCCCCCAGCAGTTTCATGGACACCCGCTGTCGGAGGACGCTGCGTCCGGGGACTGCCCGCACGCTGAGCCTCCCGGAGGCTGCTAGGTTACGGCCGTCGTCTTACGTCTCATGTATAGGTGCATGTGCTTAGCTGGCGACGATGAGATCACAAAGACGTCACCGATGCAGCTGCGGGCGGGCGATCCGGGCACAAGCAGCATCCCCCTGACAACAGACCCCGGCTCAGAGCGGCAAGAGTCGCCGCGGGTTCACCTGTACCGGCGGCTCCAGCCGATTGTCTCCGCCTTGTTATCCACGGTAGCGATAAACGATTATCTCCGCGGTATGTAGTCAAAACATCGTCTTTACAGGATAAACTGCAAAGTCCTTACAGATACATCTCAGTGAATATCGTATCAATCAATTGCTTACATTTCTAAGAAACTGGCAGAACCAAACCGTCGTTGTCTTTTCTGCAAAACTAACTATCAGGGCGGACGCCTGACGTCTGAAGAAAACAAAAGGGCCTTAGTCAAAGTCCTTTATAAATGATACCAGATGTAGCCCTCATATGAAATTGGTCTCAGGAAAAGCTCTTTTATATAGGGAAGTTGGGGCAATGCCGGAGTTGGGGCAAAGCCGAAATTCGAGATATTTCGAAAACCGTAAGACATGGATGCCACCTGTCAGTGATGCTCTGAAGCTTAAGTGACTACTCGTACAATTATCGCATGTTTGTTACGAGTCGTCATTCGGAATACTTCGACTGTGAGGGCGCCAAGAGCGTTTTCAAGGTACGTTTCCCTTGTACTACATGCGCCTTTGAAGCTGCATTTCTTACTCATTATGCTACCGTTTGTCTGGCCAATTCGGTCAAGTAATCTTTAGCATGTCTTTGCATAAGTGTGCTGCCTATTTGAAATTTATACAGCACGTTGAAAAGTTATGGGCCTGCAAATGAAAGTATGGCTGGCTGGGGTAATGCCGAAAACGTGCGATTACGCACGTGTTAAAAGCACGCTACGTGGACTTTACTGCTGTAGAATAGCAACGCGTATTTTTAGTCACACAAATTACACTTTCAACCGACACAACGGCCTGTTACCTATAAGGAATGATTTACCTGGCATTTTCTTATTATATCACACAATTATAACTTCCAGTGTGCACCGCGTCCTCAAGCTCTTAAAGGAAAAGTGCCACCTTCTTGAAATATGAAGATATCGTTGGTTTTTATTTTGACATTATTATTTTCCATTTTCTTTTCAAAGCCGGTGCCAGAAGTGCATAATTCGCTAAAAAGTATTTCAAACTATTTAACATATTGGTACTATGTTTATACTCTCTACCGCAGCTACTGTATGATGTCATAGCAATGACGTCACACTCAAGCCAATCAGCCTTGAGGAGGATAGACTCGTCGGACTGTAGCGGTTGTAAACAACTTGTCGCCCCGTGTGTCTGCCCGTGGCGCTAGTTATCTGTCGAAGGTAAGGGTGAAAGATGGATATAATGGCCATGGAACGCTATTTTAGGATTATTGGTGAATAGCAAGAATATAGTTTTGGTGGTTTGAAATTGTTTGTCCTCAGTGATTGGCTTGATTCTCATTTTGCGGCATAAGCGGCTGTTTGGTTACATTGCATTCTTTATGATTGTGTAATTATTATGATTATGTTCCTCCAAAGTAGGCATCACATATCAATCTCAAAGGCAGATCATCTTCTTTTCATGCCTATAATTTTCTTCAAGAATATTAATAAAAAATATTCCATTTACCCCTGCCTATCATATATCCCATGGAGCTGCCGGTGGAAGTAGGCATGCAATGTGACCTAGCATTGGCGATGTGGTTAATTAGCTTTAAAGTACTATGGAATGCTAAAGGTCATCATTTAGAATGGTTTTCAAAACATTCCACTAGGAAATATTCATTGAAACCTGAAAATTACTTACAAAATGTAAATGTATAGCCACGTCTCAAGAGCATTCAGCCGTCTTCTCAGTAAATATATAATGAAACATAATCTTACCTGACCTAGCCTTACCTACAACCTACAACGTACGGCATTGGTAAAGCTGGCATCACTGTCAGCGTATATTAGTTTGGTAGGTTGTGGGTAGGTAGGTTGCAGGTCAGTAGGTAAGGTTCGGTTAGGTTAGATTGTTTTTAAGATTCCTTTTATCTACACATTTACCGGTTAGCGCTGACGGTGACACCAGCTTTACCGATACCCAACCTACCACCTACAACCTACAACCTAAAACCTACATTCAATGGTGGCGGGTGGTGATAATTGTTATACCTATATGATAATACTGGAGATAAATACCATACAGATTAGCTGGTATCCATGACACACTTTCTTAAGAAGAAGGTCTTCTATTAAATCATGTCTATTTTATAGGAATGAAATGATTTTTGTTGTAGTCACATTCCCTACTCTGACCATCATGTCTGATTATTTCCAGTTACCACTGACAATGCCCAAAACAAGAACAACAAAGGCCCAAAGGTGGCTGTTTGGTAGTGCGCAAAGCTGCTGGTAAGTGGCATCAAAGGATAGGATGTTGTTGTTGTTATGGGTTAGGGCGCGTAGCAACTTGGCTCTTGCGTCCAACATTTCCAGGCACGTAGCCAGGATTTTGCTCAGGGGGGGGGGGGGGGTCACAGGTTGTGGCCTAGTGTTGTACCCCCTCCAAAAAGGAAAATTGCTCTGATTAGGCCCACTATTTTGGGGGTGTGTCACAGCTGTTTTTATTTTTAAAAAAATCGCCATCACCGAGGGGGGAAGGGGCACGAGGGCATGGCTCCCGTGCCCCTCCCCCCTCCTTGGTTACGTCCTTGGTTATTTCTGAGAGTTTGGATATCACAAAGCTTTAGATATAAATTAGAATGTAATAAGAAGCTTACAGCATTGCACCTTTCCAGACACTGATAATTCATTTGCCTTTATTGTTTCAAAAGTCAATTTTCAACACAAAAAAAAGTTGAAATTATTAACTCAAATAATTGCAAATATATACTTTGGTAATTTGCCTTTCGCATCACTATCAACAAAATAATCAAGGGTGACTAAATATGAAATGTTCCTGCATGATCTTCATCGTGAACAATTGTCAAGGTATGATGTTTGCGTGTTGAAATGTTATAAAGAACTTATGTCATAAAAACACAACTTGTAAAATTGTGTCTTTCCATATTATTCTGCAAGTAAGCCTTGGAAGGAAGAGACACTATTCCGTCCTACAGAAGCCATTTAGAAATGTGTGACATGTTCAGCACTTTGAGTCAGTCGGTGCCCGGACCTCAGTCGGCTGTATGACCGTCTCCTCGTCCTCTTTTGTCGGCTCCGCCCCGTGCTGTTCTATAAGGGTGTCTGACCCGCTGCCGCTATCCCCACTGTGAGGTCTGACCCGCCGCGCGCTGTCACCACTGTCGGCCCTCTGTGTGCGCGGCAGGTGGTGGTGGACGTCTCTGCCCTGACGCGCGGCGTGCGTCTGCTCAGTGTGGAGGTGCCGCTGACAGCGGTGCCGGCCGGACCGGCTGCCTCTCCGGCGGCCGACATTGAGCGCGGCACGTGTCCGCCGCCGTTCGGGCCGCTGCAGCTGCTGCAGTCGGCGGCGCAGCTGTCCGTCTCCGTGTCGCTGGCCGTGCCGCTGGACCTGCTGCCGCGGCCGGCGCCGGCGCGCTGCGCCTACGGCCGCCTGCTGGCCGTCGTCTCGCAGCGCGGCCTGCAGCGCAGCGGCGTGCTGCAGCTCATCCAGCAGCTCAACGAGCCGCCCAGCCCGGCGGCGGCCGAGGGCGCCGCGCCGCGCCGGCCCGGCGACGTCAGCACACCTGGCATCAGCGGCTTCTGCCTGGCCGACCGTCAGCTGCACCTGCTGTTCGCCGAGGGGCGCGCCGACGCCGAGCTGGAACAGACGGCGGCCGCGCCGCGCGCTCTGCCGCGCCGCGACGCTCGACTCTGCCACCACTCGGGCCTACAGTGTTTAGGGAGCGCCTGTACCCGCGCCAGCCGGCCGCGTTCCGCGTGCTCGAGGACCGCCCGCTACGCGCCCAGCTGCTCGACACCCGCCTCTACACGTTACAGAAACAGGAGCCGGCGCGCGCCGTCCGCGCCATCAGAGAGTGCTTCCGCACGCAGTGGCTGTCGGAAAATGAACCTGCTTCCCAACGAGGCCGGCCTGCAACAACTGCTGGCCGGCTGTTGGCCGAAAAAAACGCCTTCAACCGGATGTCAGTTGTCAAATCAACGCGTATTAATGCATTCACTAGGATGGGCTTACGTAAAGCTGTAGAATTGCAAATATATAATGGCACTGTTTTTGATCCGTTCGGTATGCATTGGTATCATATGATCTCTCATTCACAGACGATCAGCTGCGAAGACCCAGATCCGTAGTAGAGGGCTCATCGAGTCCGGGTCCAGCTCCCCGTACTTCCTCCACTTTGGAAACACCGCAGCGCAGATCACAGTTATACATAATATTTAGTTTTCATTCACTTCATAACCGAAGGTTGTTTGATAGGTGATATGCTGCTTGAGTTGCACCCCGGTATATCAATACGAAGCTTCCGTCCCTGCCACATACCAGTGAAGGAGGCGGCGGCGGCGGCGGCCGGGGCCGGGCTGCCTTGCCCACCGACACAGTCTGTGAAATGCCCCAACAACCTTTAAAATTCAACAGGCTTCATAAATGTTTTTTTGCACCATATTTTCTCGCGTATATGAAAGCTCTAAAATGTACAATATTCCTTTCAGCCACAAGCGATATAAAAGCTCTACAAAACGTCATGTCTCTGTGTGCAAGAAAGACACATATATTGTGTATAATCGAGCGTACATGATCTGCAGCGCTGCGGAGGGCTGCTCGGTTGCCGCTTTTTACCAGTCGGCTCTAGGTCGGACATATGGGTAAACAAAATGGAATAGTAATATTTAACAATGCTACCTGCTGATGCTACTGGGCCTCTCATTGGTGAAGAACTGGCAGCCAGCCAGCGTGTTTTTGTGAGAACTGTTTTAACAGCAGCAACCGAACGGCTCTCGGGCCAGCGACCAGTGAGCGTAGACAGCACAGCGCTCCGTTAGGCATCGGCGGGCAAGCACGCATTAGCTGTGGACGGACCGGCCGCCCGAACATATTTGTCGGTATCGAAAGTATCGTGAACCAAATGACTGCTAGCGAAAAAAGGACTGCCTCTCGTATCCATGAAAACATGTGTTCTACAAAAGTACATAATTGCTTAGTTGTCGCCAGTCACTCATTGCACCATGGCGTCAGTGTGGGGCCGCGCCCCGAATCATCTCAATCGCCAGGCAAAGCATCTCAATCGACAGGCACATGGTAGTCCAGCTACGAATCCGAGCCGCGGCATCCCGTCTATGTATCTACATTACACCACAATCGAACACTGTCGGGCCACCCGAGACAGCAGTCTCCAATGTAACATCAAAACCCGCCACTCGTCTAATATCAGAAAAATGAGCATTGAGTACCTACCGAATATCGACTACAGAAGATTACAATGGGGTGCAGATCTAGCAAGAGTGTCGCGGTTCGTCTCGGCACGGCTTACAGGCCGCCGAGCCCGCGCAGGTGACCGCCAGCTCCACCTGTTCCACCTCCGGCGCGGAAGCTCGATCACAAGACTGACCTCAGTCGGCGCTCTGTGCTCGGCACAGGGCGACCGGGTCAGGAGCGGGCCGCTGCCGCCAGGGCCGCGGCCACCAGCCACGCGGCAGCGCCCGCGCACCGGCCGCCACCACCCGCTCAGCCCAGATGCGCGCCACGGCGTCATTGGGGCTTCCCTGAGCAGGATCGAACCAGAGCTGCATGCACGGCTCCGTATCCGCCGTGAACTTCCACGAGTGATCCCACACCTGAAAAAGGCGCACGGTTTGCGTCACAGCTCGGCTCACTTTCACAGTCCACGCACCGGCAGCAATTAAGGGCTACTTAGATAGTGTGCTAATAGAGCGCAATCACTTAGCTTAATCCATATAGTCAACCATGAATTGTTAATTACGAGCGAGCGAGCGAAGCGAAGTCTTTTCAATATCACGGAAAAAGCTCAGTATGAGCGGCCCGACCCGGACCGGCCTGTAACGCTTTTGAGAGGCTTATATCTCAGCAACCGCTGGACCGATTGGCCTGCGGTCTTTTTTTTTTGTTGGCTAGCCCTATTCCCTCTACCCCGTAATTGACTACTCTTGATACATTACAGGGACCGTCGTGGCACGTGCCACGTGAAAAGTCAAGGGTGTTATTTGTCAAAAGTTGCAAAAGAAGTGATTTTGAGAGGCTCATCTCAGCAGCCGCTTGGGCGGTCTTGCGGTAAATTTTGTAGGGTAGCTGCACCCCTTCAACCAAAGGTCGGATGCTCTTGATCTATGTGAGTGACCCCCACTGCACGTGCAAAATGCAAAAAGAAGAGGTGCCGAATTTGTTCCCATTTCAATAACTCTGTAATTACTGGGGCGATTTAGCTGAAACTTGGCATACAGGTAGGCAGTAGGCACCCACCAGGCAATGCATTCCCATATGTTGCGGTTAGGGTGCTACTGCTTAGTGTATTATGTGTAAAATAAAGGACGCTTGAATCTTACCTGAGTGATGTCCATTTCTTGATCACTTTCATCTGTGGGTGACCGAGCAGCGACAGCAACCCAAGGCGTATACGGAATCTGTAAAAAAATCAGCACACCGTTACCACATGTTTTAATAAAACTTACCTATAGGGAGGTAGCATAAAATACAGATCAAAACAATAACATACAATTTACAAACATACAGATATTCGGTTAGGTTGAAATGGCTAAAAAATATAAAAAATAAGGGCAAGGTACTAGGGCTGTAAAGCTGTAAGGGCTCGGTACTAGTAATAATTTTTGGCTAAAAATATCACAAATAAAGACTCTGCACTAAAGCTGTAATGTCTGGTACTAGGAATAACTTTAGAGTGAAGTGTTACAAAAACAATATTCAAAGTCTTTTGATAACTTTGCAGGCATTTTCATCACTTTTAAAAAAATAACTTACATTCTGATCCGGCACAGCACTGTTCTTTAGACGCAAACGTTTTTGACTGTGCTTATCATGGTGCGCACTTCTTGTTAAGTTTAAGTGGTCATGTGGTCTTGGCTCATTGGTCATGCCACACGCCCTCATCCACTTTTCTCTGTACTTCTTTTTTTAGCGGGAACCTAAAAGTAAAAAAGGGTCAACACATGCTTAGTCCATGCAACACATACTCTGTGTATTAAGCTGAATAGCTCCACTGAGCCCAGTTTCACCAAGTGCGGTAAACTTAATTTTGGGGTAGTTTTTGTAGTTAAGTAGTGGGGTAGTTTGGTAGTTTACCCCAAATTGAGTTTACCGCACTTGGTGAAACTGGGCTCTGGTGAGCTTCCTTTTCTTGTCAGCACATAAGTGAAAGAAAACTGTGTAGACAAGAGATGAACCAAACCCCCAAGGTAGGTGTTACCACAACCAGGAAATGGGATTTGAAGGGCTGGATAAATGTGTCTGAGTTCTGCCTTTCAGCCAGACTGGAAAACATCCATACACTACGCCGGATGCCCGTGAGCCCCTCATGCGCCAAAATTTGAAGCAAGCAATTTTGAGCTGAAATTCCAGTGCATGATTTCCACTGAAAGTTGGGTGCCTGTTTGCACCAAAATTAAGCCACTTTTACATAAAGCACATGTGCATATCTACCGACCAAGGCTATATCAACCAGACAGATCGTTCCGGGGCCTCGGAGTCAGACGCTCTTCCCTTTCTGAGCGTCTGAATTAGTTAATGTTCCCATGAAAACCCAATACCACAATTTGTGTGGCACACTGTAGAATCTTAAGGTGAAACAAGGCCCAGGCCGGAAGTTCCGACTCTCTTCAGACCTGCCAGCGCCCGCAGGGCAAGTCTGCTGCTAGATTGACCACAGCGTGTCAAAAAATTCGGTGACAGCCATTTGCATAAACATTATGCGCCATGCGGTCACCCTGCGCCTAAAAATTCAGCTGCCACCATGCGCTGAATTTGACGCATGCAAAATTATGCTGGATGTGCGATGAAATTTTCGGGGCAACGCCGCAATCACGCCACTTCGCATGACATATTCGGCATAACTTGCGTTTTTTTATCCAGTCTGGCATTTCAGTTGTGAAAGCCTGAACAGTTCAAAAGGGTTTGCTAATCCAGGGGAGAGTTCTGTGAAAACAAAAGTAATAGAAGAGCCATTGCAATAAATAAGAATTTAGGTACCTACCTAGGTACCTAGGTACTTACTTGTGCACAGTCACACGCATATCAGTCCCGACCCGACGTAGGTCGTTTGCTCCGCGGATCACGCACTTCATCGTTATTATAGGTATTTGTTCGAACAAAAATGCCCTGATTTCGGATCAGAGCCACGGTATAAAATATGGTATACTGCCTTGCGTAATATAAAAATGCATTTTAGCAATTGGCTACCAAACGAGATGTCATCTGTTCAGGGCATAGCATAGGTTTACTTTCATAGACCTCATGAAAGTAGCTCATGAAACTCATCACCAATCAGCGCGACGGATTTCAAGATTCGATTGCGGATGTTCATCCGCCGGCCGATTGCCAGAACAGACAACGAAAAATAACGCAACTACTCGTGGTCTGCTCGCTAGTACAGGGATCCGTGCCTGATCAGTACTGCTGCAAGCTGATTGGTTAAAAACCTAAGCCTCGCCGCGGGTGGCTGTATTGTCGGATAAGAACGCATTCCTGGGATAAGAACGCATTCCTGGCATATTTTCTTTTAAAATTGCCGATAACTACGAATGGAGGCCGAAATCGGCCGTAAGGAGGTAGACAGAGAGGTTTTCGGACACGGGCTACAAGATGGCTATCTCAGTTTCAATCCCCATGTTAAAGGTGGCCCTTTTCCTTTAAAACGCGTGTCAGCTTTGATGAATTCTGGATAAAGTTTGAGATAAAATGGCAAAACATCAATGTCGGCATTCCCCGTAGATCATTTCTCCCATTTTCGGCTTTCCCCGCAGTCCGGGGCAACGCCGAAAAAGTCACTTGTTTGATATTTTTAGTTTGTGCGCTTAACGGTATGCGAATTCATCAAATGCGCCTGGTAAGTTTGAAAGGCAAAAGACTGGCCTCTCGAATGACGCCAACAAGAATAGCTTATGTTGTCTACCTTGCGTGCTACGGGCGTCAGAAAAAAAGTCTTCGGCGTTCCCCCAACTTCCCCTAGCATGCAGAGAACAGACCTCTAAAATGTAGGCGCCGCACAGACGACGTTCGCTGAAGCTCTCTACACCTGACGCCAGTTTAATAAACACAATCACCACTGTTACATAACATCACTGTTGGATAACGTCTTTCATAACAGTTATCCCTATATGAGAGGAAATCAGTCGTACTACAGAAAACCTCTTACGTAAATGGTGTCAAATGCAGGCTGTAGCTCTCTACAGACGTCAGCCGTAGTCCTCTACAGGTGACGTTATTCACAGACCTCTAAGGCCGACGTAGCTCATGTAGTCCCCTGACCCCTAGCTGTAGTCCCCTACAGACGGACTCAGATGCCGCAGTCCTCTATATCTAGTCCCCTACAGACGGACTCAGTTGCAGTCCTCTATCTCCAGTCCCCCACAGACGGACTCAAATACAGTGCTCTAGCTGTAGTCCCCTACAGACGGACTCAGTTGCAGTCCTCTATCTCTAGTCCCCTACAGATGACTTCACCCGGAGTGGAATCGAAGCCGCTTAGTCGGCCGCAAGGTACGGCCAACAAAAGGCCTCCAAATATGGATGGGCTATAGACCACCGAGCCAAGGTCCGCACCATGGCCCGCGTGCCTTTGGCTGATTTGCCTACGACGGCTTAAATTGCTGGTTATATAACGATATCTGAATATTATTTTATTTAAGCGGAATGCGTGTTGTGTGACACCTTCATTAGGCCGGACAGCGTATGATTTTATCTGGCATCAATTCTACGTAACTTCTTTGGCGTTTTACTATGTTTCATGGAGGTGGTATAAATGTTGGGCACTCTGGAAATGAGTATCAACTGTTTTCTTCCTTTACTCAACTTTTCGTTAGAATAAAAATCCGTATACCTTGAAATACTTATGTAGTACAAAAAGTTATCAGAGGCATAGAATGGAAGTGATCACAAAATATGCATGTTTGGCGACATAGCCGAGAAATGCGACCCATAAATCGTTCAGGTATCTTGCACTTATGTTCCCCTCTTTCGAATGAGAGTTTCACTCAAATTGTATGAGTTCACGATAGTGAAGAGCCAATTTCGGCTGTGCATAGTGTCAAGCTGGAGCTGAAATGTGATTTCGTTAATAACTTTTAACATTATTAAAAGTCAGTAGGTAATGATCATAACAGCGTTAGCTCGCTTAAATGTGGCCATATGATCAAGGTCATGAACTGAAATATTTATTTATGATGCTATTTATCGAGAGAAATAAATTTTGTTAGGCTGGAGAGGAAGTGGTAAATACCGGAGCCCCAAGGGTGTTTTAACCCGCGCCCCACTGGGGTCTGTGTATAACACGCCCTACTGGGGGGGGGGGGGCTATTCATAGCCCCCCCTCCTAACTCCGAAACTACTGGGCCGATCGTCAAAATTCAAACGGCGTCTGATAGCCCCGGAAAAACTGTCGAGCGAAACCTAATTTCATTGACCTCGAGGTCACCGATGACGTCATAGGTCAGGTCAAAGTAAAAATTATTAGCACTTTGGCTTGTTCACCTTTTGGGCTCTGGCCGCCGTCTTACAAGTCAGATCAGGCTCATTTTTGGTTTCCACACTCGTGAACAGATGCTCTAGATACCTTGAGGGTACCAAACTTGTACTTTGATTTTCAGGTCAGGGTCAGGTCATCACAGGTCACGAAAATATTATATCATGCGTCGGTCACGTGACACATGTTTTATGGTCCATTTAGGCCATAGATTTCGAATTTGATGTCGTCTGTGTCATTCGAGGTCATTTTGAGTCGAATTTAGCTTAGGTCAGGTCACTTTCAGGTCAAAAAGGTCAAATTTTGAAGTTAAAATTTTTCAACAAAAAAGGTGTCTATTGGATGCAGTTTGAGCTCAGGAACACGATGGTGCCATTTATATTGGTGTACGATGTCAAATACGTACTGAAAAAGTGATTTGAAAAATTAATAATTGTGAATTTTTTGCAATAATGCGTATAACTTGGCCATTTTTGAAGATATTTAGCTAAAACTTGCTAGAGTTAATCATAATCATGCGTTCTGTCACATATATTCCGGTTTTTTCGAAAAGTCAAAAACTTTTTGAAAAAAATATAAAAATATAAATTTTGAATATTATTATATAAAATTTTCGAAATTTTCAAAATTTTGAAAATCCGAGATAGCAGTTTGATAGCGCGGTCAATTCTGAGTCCTTTCATGCAAAGAAATTGGATCTAGCTTAAAAACTGAGCTCTTGGGAGCGATTGCCGTGGTTCAATGTTTTGCGTCGAAATCGGACGAACATGACGTCACTCTGACGTCATTTCCGGACGACCTATGGTAGCTACGAAGTTCAAATTTTGACACAAGGTGTCAAATTGATGCAGCCGAAGGTACTGAAAGTTTGGCGTCGATACGTCAAGCGGTTTGGAAGTTATTCGAGAAAAACGGGAGGGGGGGCTATAAATAGCCCCCCCCCCCCCAGTGGGGCGCGGGTTAAGCTCCAACAGGCGACGTGACAGCACCCAACAATCCAGCGCTTGGAGGGGGGATTTACACCACACATCTCTCATGACATTCGCGCTCCATGGACATCGGCAGTGCCTACATTATAGAGAGTAATCAATCAAGTCTGCATGACATTACAATGGGTGACAATGTGACGGAACACACAGATGAAAGCATCACCTCCCTCCATAACAGGTAAGCTACATAGAAGGAAGTCCCGTACGGAAAGGAACGTCAAGGTCCAACGCCACAACATGACTGACTTCCGATCACCCTGACATTAGGGTGGATCCGCGCCGAGCCAGCGGGCGGCAGACGGGCGGGCGGGCGCTTCCCGATCGGCATCTGTGACACTCTCCTCACCCCAGCCGGAACAGACCTTCACCTTATGACTCCGGCGGTCGGGGAGCAGGGCTCGACCTGCAGCCTTGAGCGGCGGCAGTGACCGGCCGGCCGGCCGGCGGTGCCTGACCGGCCGTCTGCCGCCCGGGGCGCTGCATCGGCGCGAGCTTCTGCGAACGCGCTCCGGGCCGCCCCCTCAAGGTGACGCGGCCGGTGGCGAGCCGGCTGGGCGGCCCGACTCGGCCAGATTCTGCCGGACTCCGCTGGAGCTCGCACCTCCCCGACTCCGCTC